CCTGCCTTATGAGTTGTTCATCAACATTTAAAAGCCTGAAGTTAAAAAATAAGAGAGGAGCTGCTCTAGGAGCATGGTATACTGTATCTTTGTGTTTCCCCATCTGACACCTTCCCTTCCTCTAATAAGGTCTGTTACTCATGAAACCAACAAATTAATGGAAATTGGACTATTTGTCTCAGAATGCTATTGTAAGTTCACTATGGAATATTAATTATTGGTATTCATTACTTCTTGAGAAACTGCAGTCTTTCTCAGGACATATAGCTGTATCCTTTGTTGTTGCTGTTATTTTGTTTTATTAACATAGACTATATTCCATTTATTCTTAAACATTAATTTTATCACATCCTTTATTTGTTTATTTTAACTAATACTGAAAAATATAGAAATCCCATGCATTATACAATATAATGTGGTATTTTCAATGTATGTGAACATTGTAGCACCTAAACATTTCTAGAATCATCTGTCATAGCACTACAATGAAAACACTTACCTGGCCTGGGCACAGGCCTGTCACTCTGAAACTTAGGAGGCTGAGGCAGGAGGATCATCAGTTCAAAGCCTGCCATGTGTTAAATTTTTGGAATTACAGACCAGCCTGGAAAACTTAGAACTTGTTTCAAAACAAAAAAATATAAAAGAGTGCCAGGATTCAAGCTCTGTTGTAGACTGTGGTGCTGTATAGCATGAGGTAGGACCTACGTTTAATCCCCAGTACCACTAAAATACAAACAAAAGAAAAGGAAACAAAAGAAAACAAACAAAACCAGAAAATCAAAAGACAAAAGACCTAAACTACTTTCTTCTGCCTTTGGAAAATGTACAATGTCCCTTACTGTGCAGTAGCACTCCAGAGCCTATTTTCCTATATAATTTAGTAGCCATTGATCAAGCACTCCATGTCCACCCCTCTGTTTCATAGCCCCCAGCCTCTGGAAAAGTCTTATTAATTCCTATGAGTCAATGTTTTTAGTTTCCAACTGAGTATAACGAAACTCTGTAGGATTTATTTAATGCACCTGGATTGCTTTATTCGACATAATCATCTCCAGCTCCATTTATGTCACAAATGATGGGATCTCATTATTTTTATGACTGACTGCTGTTCTGGTGTATATAGCTCCACATTCCTTTATCTGTTCATTAGTTGACAAACATTCAGTTTTTTGTCTTTGACATCTTTAACATACTGTTTTAATTTCCTTAATATTTATGCTTATCAATGAAATTGCTAGATCATGTAGTAGATTTATTTTTAATTTTCTTGAAGAATCTTCTGTTTTCCATATCCACTGTCATAATTTACACTCCCATCAACAGTATGTGCTTATTCTCCTATTGTTGCTTGTATTTTTGATAAAAGTCATCCTTAGTATTGTTGCTCTGGATACTTACACAAGCCTAAGAATCAGGGATGGCCCAGCTCAGTGTATGAGACATATGTTAATTATGAAAATATCGTTCTTCGATACTGAACATATTTCATGCATGTGAGTATTATATTTATAAATTCATAAAAATAACAGAAAAATAGGGCATATCGAATATTGAAATTCACTGTATGCATAAACATTTATCCTTTCAATGATTAATAATAATTTATGCCTTTCACAGATTTTGTTTTTCATTATGACTCCTTTTTTATTGGGTAGTTGAATTGCAGCACATAAATCTGTTATTTGAGAGTGGACACACATTATCTATTGTTTATTATTGGACACCTAAAATATAACTGTAATAGTATAAACTGTAGTAGTCAAAGTTTTATGATTTTATTGATCACAATATCCAAGATGAAGATATGGCATAAATAAGATTTATAATTATAAAATATTTATATATAGTTCACTAACTTCCTGCACTGAGAATTCTTCAGACAATTCTTTGCACAGTTGTTAAATGATAATTTGATCTGACATCAATTTCCCTCAATAATCTATAAAACACATTCTTACAGACCCTAGAAAGGAAAGTCTATTGTTTTAAGAAAAATGTCATCTTCAAGTTATCAAGTAAAGGCCAAGAGATAGTCAATGAAATTCTTTTAAAAATTCTTTTTAAAAATGCTGTATTCAGATAATTTCATAATCCAATATCTTCCTTAAACTTATCATTGAGACAGCTATATCAAGGAGTAGTTTTCTGAAACTTAATCTAACATTGAGTCAAAATTTAGACAGTTATAATTATAATTTAAATTTTCTCCATTGCTCCCATAATCCTCTCATATCAGCAGAAAAGAACTGAGTTGACATGTAGATAATTTTCTGTTTTACCAAACTTTAGGCAATGGACAGAAGATATATTCACATTAATTTCTCCTTTTCCTATCATCCATTAATTAATTTGAGAGGCAATGAAAATCTGGTTGGTTAAGTGTTATGAATACATGATTTCTTAAATATTGAATTTAACACTGAAATCTTTTTCAAAAGAAAATGTTCAAAGGTTATGTTTGTGCATAGACATTTAATAATTGTCATGAGATGAATAATATCCACACCAAACTAATACTTAGAGGTGACTGTATTGAACTGGTTATGGGATTTTATTGAACTTGCTACAGGATTCCAATATGATTATGAGGACAGTCTACTTTGTACAGGGAAGGAACCCCTGCGGTAGCCTTTTTATTAAACAGATTCACGAAAGTGTCTGGAACGAGGTCTTCTCCACTGCACACAGGAGAAAAGCAAAGGGTTGAAGAGAACTGAGAACTCAGGAGCACACAAGAGCAGCTGGTCTCCTGCTTGCCCTGAAGGCTATGCTCCCTGTGATTGCTTTATTTTCCACTGCAGCTCCTCTGATTCACATGCTCTTCTTCAAACTGAGAAGGAGACATTGTGAACTTAGCCAGCAATGAGACTACATACTTGGTATTTTTTTTAAATCACTTAAAAATTATAGGAAAAAGAATTGTGAAAATATTTTTTTCCTCTTTGCTTTCCTAACCTCTGCTTAATTTGGTATAGAAATGGATTTGTATTTCCTGAAAGGTCAGAAATCAATCATTGTTTATCAATCAGAACATAAAATCATTTCCATCGTGCTTCACTTCAAGTTAAATGATCATGTCAATACTTTAGTTGTTGAAAGAATAATAATATTTTTCCCTTTACACATTTCTCACTAGTATCCACACAGCTCATGTTCTGTATGTCTTCATAAGAACTTTAGTGGTGGATAAATTTAAGTAAACTCCATTTTACCTTAGGAAATGCAGGTCTTTATAAAACAATTAGCTCTCACTGGTCATTATAAAACAATTAAAGTCATTACATGTAGTTGTCACAAAATGGTTTTATTTATTATTCAATGAAGTAACACAGTTATATAAAGCAGAATGAGAATGAAATAGGATATATTCTTTTTGGATTGTCTTAATTCGCTTGAGATGGATTCATGGAATTCCTTATTTATGCTCCTCATTTATTTAGCTTCACTGTTTAGTGCTTACAGAGAGCCCCAAGTGTGGGCACAGTTACATTTTATTGAGTTTCTAATGAATTCTGTACAGCAAGGATGTTAGGTTTGAAGCCCTTACAAATAAATAGTCTATGCAATAGGAGCTAATTAAAGCCAAGTGAGAGCTTGGAGATAGTCTCTCTCTCTCTCTCTCTCTCTCTCTCTCTCTCTCTCTCTCTAAAATGCCCTTTTCTATATATATATATGTATCTCTGTCTTTGTCTCCTTCTCATTCATGCCCAAATAACTGACAATCTATTGCTATCAAATCAAGGCATTTTGTTTGAAATGTGTTCAGTTCATGAATGTAATGTATAGCTCTTCATTTGCTGTGAGGCACCTTTCACAAGCTTGCCCTGGTTTAATGACTTGGCAATTAGACCCCAAAGAAAGATGGAAAGGAATTCAAGTGAAACTCCTCCATCAACTAAGGATTTTCTCAGGTTGTAGAGATTATACCTTGCACTGACCAGGTAAGCCTAATACAGTTTTTAATTTGGTAACAAAAGAAATTAAATCCAAGAATTTATTGCATCAACTCACAACCTCAAATTGTTTCCATTTTCTTATTCCCAGGAGTCTTTCTTCAGAATTAACCTGTCAGCGAGCAGGAAGGGAATAACACTGATTTATTACTAAAGGCAAAGTGTGGCTTAAGCTTGAGGGATATTATGGGAAGAGTCCTATAGGGAAAGAGCACATTGTATTTAAGTTGACACAACCAGAGAGGTAAGTCATTAACTAAAAGTCTGGCATAGACAGACATTTAATTTAGTCTTCCAGCCAACTAGTCCCTTAAGATTATAAAATCTCACTGTAACCTCCCTATAAGCTGATCATTTAAATGATACATGAGAATTGACTTGCTAGTTCACTTCAAACAGAAGACCCCAGAGAGCGTAAAGATATCCCAGAGAACCAGTCATTTACAAAGGATTTATAAAAGAGAAAGCCAGGATGAAAGTTTATGTGATAAATGACAAAAGGCAACCTTTCATTTCATTATACATTTTTTGTTCAAATAACACAGTAGCTTTCGATTTATAAGCTCATATAATCTAATTATCTTCTTAATATTGTTAAAGAACAGTATTATATTTCAGGGTTTTTGAAAATTCACTAACCTCTATTACTCAAAGAATAGTATGAAATACTGCTGACATATATTTCTAGCCATAAAGATCAAAGAGTGTTCCAGGGAAAATGATCAGGTGAGGAAGACAGCCTTTTCTCGACAGCGTTTTCTTGCTACACTTCAATGTTAATGAACAAGTTCTATTTCCAGATCATCCAATTTAGATATTTCAGTCTAAGTTATTTTAATAACATGCTGGGATTACAACTAATTTGGCATACGGTTTTCAAACCTTTCATTTTTATACTCATTTTTTTTTTGTATAAAGATACTGCTCAAAAAAACACTCACATTTTAGCTGTGTATTACACAAAAATTATTGAGTATCATCAAAGATTTTTCAATGATTTTAAGAGCTTTATGTGAGATAGAACCAAGTGTGCCCATTACATACCTCAGTAGCAAACTGCTGTAGTCCACCAATATTGATTGGCCCATCTTCAGTGGCACATAGATTGCATCCGCCAACACAAAGATCAGAGGTTGGACAAACCATTCCACAAGTAAGACCAAGTGGATTGTCAGAAAAAATCAGTTTAGCAGCTCCATAGTAGTTCTGTATAAATAAATAAAACAAAAATAGTAATAAATTTGTTATGGAATAGTGTACCTTAAACCCCAAATTTTGACATATTATTCCTTTCAGTAAGCAAGTAGATTAAAAATCAAGGCAGGAGATGTAAAGAAAATGTGTATGTTACAATTCGACTTACCATCTGGAATCAGCAACTGACCACTAGCAGAATATCCAACTTAATTTGTTCTTAAAATGGATAGTCATCATTATTGATCGAAGTAATGAAAAAAAATAGTAAAAAGTTTGGAGAAACCTGAACTGCCAAAAGGAGCCCAAAGAAATATGATATATAAACACAATATAGAATCTTAGACAAAATACTGCAAAAAATATAGAACATTAGGTGAAAAATTAAGGAAATCAAATAAGCTGGAGATTTTCTTAAAATGATATGTCAATATTATATTCCCAATAGGGATAGATATGCCATACTTGTGTAAGAGTTGAACAAGGAACTTACACTCTGTAGTACTGTCACAAGTTCTCTGTTTATTGACTTCATAGTACATTGCCAATACTTTGGCATATAAATAGTACCTTCCTGTGTAAAATTCCCAGTTCTCAGGCAAAACAAATTTTTGGCACATTAAAAGACAGAAATAATCACTTGGCAATTAAATAAAATGATAAGTCAAGGAAACAGGTCATGACTCCTACATTGAAGAGAACAGAAAAGACTTAAGAAATGTTGACAATAATTCAGAGAAAGGAAGGCAAAAGAGATGGAACATTTAAAAACATCATCACAGCATGGAAAGGACTCTATATCAAAAAATAAAATTATCATTCCAGAAATAAATAAAAAAATACAATAGTTAATTTGTTGTTTTACTTTATGGTAACAAGTATCTGCCTTATTTAGTGTGTCTCCTCAGAATGAAGTTTTGTCTAATGCAAAAAATGGCTCTTCAATATTCATTTCCTCAATGTATAATATGAATACAGAATGCAATTTAATTCATAACTAATGATCCTGAGCATTTATTATCAAGTAATTGACCTACCAAGTATCAAGTGGCAGATGATCAGCCAGGTCACAAGTCACACTAAAGAACACTGTCTATGACAGAAGAAAATGTATTTTGATTTGTACACATACACACACACATACACACACACACACACACACACACACACACACACACACACCTTTCACTGTAAACTGGACAGCTCAGAGCAGCCATTATGTTCTTTTAGTTTTCATTTGCTAAGTAACTTTAGTGTTTCTTTAGTTCCTTTTGTTGTGATCTTTGCATCAGGAAATTGTTATATTTAAGTAGGGATTGGTTTCCCAGTGATATTTGAAGCACAGTATCAGAAGGAAAATGTAGATAAATAGAATTTTATAAAAATCAACAACTCCATGTTCCAAAGGATGCTACCAAGGGAGTGAAAAGAGAACCCACACAGGACAAAATATTTGAAGACACTATGGTGGGAGAATTCATTTCCCATGATAGCTCAAGTAGTATTTTTTAAAATATTTATTTAATAACAATATAATTAGAAGAAGCATTTCATTACAATAGCATTGACATATTCAATAACAATTTCCAGAGCTAACATGCATCTCTTTCAAAATTGGCTGTAAATTTTTAGGTTTACAGTTGAATTATTACAGTTATACAATATTGTACTCAGTATAAACCCTATAAGACATAAAATTAAATGAGGTTTTAAACTTTAAAAAAGATCTCCATTTCATTATTAAAATATAGTTTCATACAGAAAAATTTATTTTTAATACAATTAACACTAAGATACACATGCGTTTCTAATCTTGATATATCTGATTATTACTAGTCACAGGATATAAAGCCATCAGGTAGATTTCAATGGTAATGTTCTTCACATCTACTAATTATTAAGGAGCAAACTTTTATGCCTTGAAGAATTTTTCTTTTTATTTATACACGCACTTCCCAGATAGCACCCTCCCATAGCCTCCCTCCCCCCACTAGAGCCCTTATACTCTGATATCCCTGCTACAGTCTGCTGTGTTGTTGGCACCCCCAGCCATTCTCCACTACTTGCCCTTCTGGTGAATCTAGTCAGCCAATCTAGAGGTCTTTGTTTTAGGAAGGTCAGCTGTTCTTCATCCAGCGGCAATCAGTTGTCTATATTCTTTCGGATAAGTTTGGGGTCTGCTGTTCATTTTACCAGTTCTGAGATGGGTTCCTATCTTGGAATCCCTTTGGCCACCCTGGCCAAAACTCAAAAGAAGAAATCGCTTGTCTGGCATTGTTGCTTGTGTTATGTAGCCTTTAGCTATACATATGGACTCTTATGAAGTTCTGTTGTCCCATTTAATATTTGGTTATACTTTTGTTTTGGGTGTTTAAGGCCATACAGTGGGTCAAGATAAACCAATTTATTTTTAGTCTTAAGGTCCTTTGAGGATCTGTTCCTTAGGGGTCACATGGGCTTGGGAGGAGCCCCTGGCTCCTTTCTTTTACCAGTTACGCCTATGTGAAGATAAGTCAAAGGTCCTGCTCAACCATGGTTGGCTTTGCTTGGAAGCATGGAGGAAATGATTCCTCTGTGTTGACACGACTGGACACTGGATCAAGTCCATCTGGTGGGGTCTCCTTGGCCTCCTTGATAAAGAGGACAGGTGACCCACCACCATTACAGGACATTTTGAGATGCTCATAGTCCCCTGGAACTAGTCAACCTAGGAGGGCAAGGAGCAAAAAGTGTCCTTTATATCCCTTTGACCAAATTATTATAGACTTCAAAGGATGTCTGTACAACACCCAAGAAGGTTAGTTTTACCAGTCTGGAATTTTTAATTACTGTGTGTCATGTAGATAAATCTTAGGCAAAGACCAGTTGTTTTATTTTAGACCTCAAAGAATGTCTGTTAAATACCCAAGAAGGTTAGTTCCACCAGTCTGGTATTTTTAATTATTGTGTGCCATGTAGATATATCTTGGGGAAAGACCAGTTGTTCTCAGATAAACCTTACTTAGACATATATTTCTTGATCTGCTATGTAAAATTTTTCAGTAGGTTGTAGGAGTAATATGGTTCCCAGTGGTTTTCAAAACTAGCTAGGCATTGTTTATTTCTCACATTGTCTCACCCCTCCATCATGGTTTTCCATCTTAAGGTGCCCCCGTTTCCCCCCCTTTCTCCCTTACTAATACCCTTCTCCTATTGTCCTCTCTTGAGCTCATTCTTTCCTTTTATCCCCTAGGTTCCTTGTATACCCTTCCCTCCCCTCTCCCTTAAACTAACCCAATTTTTATCCATATCTCCCTTATTAAGACCTGTTTCCTACTGTTCTTCTCTTTCAGGTTCTTTCTTTTCCTTTACCTCCCTGTTTCCTTTCCATTATCCTGGTTCCTGGTTGCATACGTATTTATCAGAGTCTGGTTCTAGGATCCACTTATGAGGGAGAACATATGTCGATTTTTTTTTTTCTGAGTCTGTGTTACTTCACTTACTATAAAAGTTTCTAGTTCCATCCATTTACCTTCAAATTTCATGATTTCATCTTTCTTTACTGCTGAGTAAAACTCCATCATATAAAGGAAACACATTTTCATTATCCACTCATCAATTAAGGGACACTTAGGTTGCTTCCATCTCTTACCTATTGTGAAAGAGCAGCAGCAAACATGGATGTACATGTGTCTCTGCAATAGGATGAGTTCTTTGGGTATACGCCAAGGAGTGGTACAACTGGTTCAAATGGTAGGTTCATTTTTAGGTTTTTAGGAGTTCTTCACACTGCTTTCCAAAGGGGTTGAACCAATTTGCAGTCCCACGAGCAGTGGATGAGTGTTCCTCTTTCCCCACATACTCTCCAACATTTGCTATCATTTGTTTTCTTGATCTTAGCAAGTCGGACTGAGGTGAGGTGAAATCTTAAAGTGGTTTTATTTGCATTTACCTAATTATTAGTGACGCTGAACATCTTTTAAGATGTTTCATAGCCATCTTTACTTCTTCTTTTGAGAATTCTCTGTTCAGCTCCGTAGCCCATCTTTCAATTGGGTTGCTTCTCTTCTTGGTTCTCTGTTTTTTAAGTTCGTTATAAATTCTGGTTATTAAACCTCTGTCAGATGTGTCGCTGGTGAAGATTTTCTCCCATTCTGTGGGTTTTCTGTTTGTTTCTTTGGTTGTCTCCTTTCATGTACAGAAGCTTTTTAGTTTAATGAGGTCCCATTTGTTAATTCTTGCGCTTGCTTCCTGAGCAATTGATGTCCGGTTTAGAAAATTCTTTCCTACACTTATATCTTATAGGTCTTTCCCAATGTTTTCTTCTAATAGTTTCAGAGTTTCAGGATTTACATTGAGATCTTTGAGCCATTTGAAATAGATTTTTGTGCAGGGTAAAGATATGGGGTTTAGTTTGATTTCTCTACAGGTGGAGATCCAATTTTGCCAGCAATTTGCTGAACATGCTGTCTTTCCTCCAGTGAATATTCTTGGCCCCTTTGTCAAATATCAGATGGTTGAAATTTGCATTTACTCATATTCGGGTCTTCAGTTTTGTTCCATTGGACTATGGGTCTATTTTTGTTCCACTACCATGTTGGTTTTATAACTATAGCTCTGTAATACATCTTGAAATCTGGTATTGTAATCCCCCTGGCATTGCTCTTACTGCTCAGGGTTGTTTTGGCTATCCGGGGTCTCTTGTGGTTCCATATGAATCTTAGGATAGATTTTTCTAATTCTGTGAAAAATGTCATGGGGATTTTGATTGGCATTGCATTGAATCTATATATGACTGTTGGTAGGATGGTCATTTTCACAATATTAATTCTTCCAATCCATGAGCATGGGCGGTCCTTCCATCTTCTGATGTCTTCCTCAATTTCTTTCTTTAAAGATTTTAAATTTTCATTGTAGAGCTCTTTAATGTCTTTGGTCAGGTTCACTCCAAGATATTTTATTATTTTTTTGAAGGTATTGTGAACAGGAGTTTTTCCATGTGCTCTTTCTCTGATTGCTTGTTATTGGTAAAT